GTTAGGGGTTAGGGTATAGGGTTTAGAGTTTAGGGTTCAAGATATAGGGGTTTAGGTTGAGGGTATAGTCGTTTTAATTTGCTGAAACAAAGGTTTTCGAACTATAAGAGAGGGTCAAGGTGTTGTCTAATAAGGCTTCTATATGGGTTGCAGTGTCTCAGGGAGGTTACGCCACTGCTGCTACTACTACTACTACTACTACTACGACTACGACTACGACTACTACTACTACTACTACTACTACTACTACGATGGTTGTTGCCACCGCTGCTGATGCTGTAACTTGTGCTACAGCTACTACTGCTGCGACTCTTCCGAGTTGAGGCAAGATTTTGCCGATGGCCCTCACGCTGGTCAGCAAAATCAGCAAGATCCGCTCCAACATGCCGACCGGGGAGCCTTGCCTGGCAACTGCAGGCTTTCTATCTGTTTTAGTGTTCCAAAACTTTCAATGAGAGGGGTTGCAGAGGCCAAAGCTTGGACACCCCACAACCCCATTCTTTGTGTAAAGGCCCTGAGATTACGGGCCCAACAATCCTGCTGTCTGAAACTGAAGAACCCTCGGCTCGTCTGCTCAACTGGGTTTTTACAAGTGCTCTACAGATTCGTTTTGATATGGGTTTCGGTTTGGTGAATAAACCCCTAAACCCTAAAGTCTAAACCGTCCCTAAACCCTAAACCCTAAGCTTAGGCTTCGGGGCTCTTCCACTGGACATCCCGAGCTGCTCGGGTTGTCGCCAGCCCATTTAGGCCCTTGGAAGCCCTATAAAGTTTTAAAGCGGCCCATACACCCTGGAGCCTAGAGCCCTTCACTCCAGATTCTAAACCCTGAGGGCTCATATGCCCTAACTCCCTGAATCCCAAACCCTAAACCCTTATAAATCCCCAAATCCCTGACTCCGAAAGTTTAAAACCCTAAACCCTATTCGAAACCCCCGCGGTTCTGAGGATCCCGAGTCGGAAGACTCACGGAGGGCCTTGTTGAAGACCCTGCAGCAAATCAAGACGCTCCGGCTTTTAGGGTTTAGGGGTTTAGGGTTTAGGGGTCTAGGGTTGAGGGGTTTAGGGGTTTAGGGGTTTAGGGGTTTAGGGTTTAGTGTTTAGGGGTTAGGGCTTTAGGGGTGTTGGGTTTAGGGTTTAGGGGCTTCGATCTCTTGAGGGTGTTTGGGGCTTCGGACACTCAGGACTAGGGAGTGAGATTAAGGGTTACTGTAGGGTTAGTATTTAGATTTAGGGTATAGACAAAGTTTAGGATTCAGGGTTTACCGTGTTTCGAACTTGGGGAGTTGGACTTCAATGCGTACAGAATCCTTAGAGAAGCTCTACCGAAACCTGAAGACCCCATTGTTGGCTCGGAACTGTTGACGGTTGCTGGAAGTTTTTGGAGGTTGGGCACAGCGTATGAATGCATGCAGGGATGAGCATGCCGGGAGTTTGGATCTCTGAAAGCACTGAACATCTAAATACGCACTCCCTGTTTCTATGATCACTCCTTTGCATGCCTGCTTTCCTTTCAAGTGCGTCGATGACAGTAGGAATCAGCCGGGGGCCCCATAACGGCCATAACGGCCCGGAACTCGTGTAAGCCAGGGCTTGAGGCAGTGAGCCTTTCAGGAACCACAAGACCTTCAAGCTTGGCATCCCGGAACTCGACCCGGTTGTTGAGATGAACATCCAGTCCGAGGAGAGACAACGGGCTTTTCGGGCTTTTAGGGTTTTAGGGATTAGGGCCTTTAGGGTTTCGGGAGGAGAGACAGCAGGGTTCGGGATCTGGGAGGAGAGCCCACGAGAGAACAACTGCTTAGCAAATCTTTGCTCTGCTTCGGAGTTGCCTCACTGGCCGCTGCCTCCGCAGCATCTTTATACACCTGACTCACTCACTCGTTTTAGGACGAGAGAGAGATGGGTTTCGTTGCAGTCGTGACAGTGACGCGATGCCGCGGCTTCCCAAAAGCCTCCTATAGAGCTCTCCGAGCTTCCCTCTAAAGCTCTAAAGCCCAAAACCCTAAAGCCCTAATTAAAGCCCTAAGGCCCCAAAACCCCTAAAGCCCTAACGCCATCAAGACCTAAAGCCCCAAAGCCCAAAACCCTTAAACCCCTAAACCCCTGAACCCTAAACCCTAGAGCTCTCCGAGCCTCCTCCCCTGTCAGGAGATGAACAGCGTGTTGTCCAGCCTCAAGGACCTGGAGTCGAAGCTCACAGCGAGCCTCCGCCATGTAGGGATGTTTAGGGTTTAGGGCTTTAGGGGTTTAAGGGGGTTCAGGGCTTTAGGGGTTTAAGGGGGCACTCTGGAGCCTGCATGCCCAACCCTAATAACCTGCGTCTCTAACTCTAAACCGGATCCGGAGTCGGTTGAGTTCGTGGATACGAGCCACCTGGCTGAAGGGGAATCGCTCCGAAAGTGCTGATTGATAGATCTTCCTTTAAATCTGGAGTCCACTTACCCCAACGCTTTAAAAAATGATCACTGGGAGAGGGAGTTTGGGACGCAGGGAGGGAGGAAGAGAGACAGAGCGAGAGACAGAGAGAGAGCGAGTGAGCTACCGAAAGAGACAGAGAGGGCGAGTGAGGAGCACTCCTTGTGGTTGCCGGGTGCTGTGGTATCGAAGTCTTCGAGTGACTCCAACTCCGAGCTCAAAAACGCCCCGCCAAGGAACAACTTCCATAAGCACGAGAAGCTGAAGCAGTACTACGACTGCTTCTCATCGAAGGTTTCGGGGCTCAGCCCCGACAAGCCTTCAGTTCCTAAGCCCGAAGCCTAAGCCCCGTAACCTACAGCCCTTAACACCCAAAACATACAGCGAAGTTGGCAGGTCAGACTTCACAGCCAGGTGCAAGAGTTGGACAAGCAACTCGGTTTGTTGGAGATGTCTTCCCTCCCCCCAGTTTCGCCATGTTCGCACAGCCTTGCGAGCGTGCTGACGCCGAGGCAGATCAACCAGAGCCGCTTCATGGCACCCCGACGTGGAACAGCACAGTTGTTGAGGAGAGTCGGTCGTGACCTTCATAGGAGTTTACAGGAGAAGCCCCATGAAGACTAGGAGTCAAGTGCACTGCAGGTCATGAACGACGACCTTCGTGCCATGAGGAGAGTTCTTCGGAGGCCACTTCGATACAGCGTTCGCAGGGCACAGTTTGGTTCCACAAGTCCTCATGAAAACCAAATTTCAAAACCAAGCCTGTTTTGTCGCACAGCTTTGGCCCACATGGTTCTTGGTAGTGTGATCACGACAGGCTGGAGTTCATCGACAAGGATGGCGTTGTACAACTGAAGGGCCGGATGGCCTGTGAAATCACGAGCTGCGACGAAGTCTTGATGACAGAGAGACTTGGAGGCCTTGAACCAGTACATCCTTCAGGTCCCAACCCCCCCTCCATGAGACCTGAAATGCTTGAAAGCAAATCAGATCCTAGAGTGAGTGATTTCCCAACGTGCGCATTTAAAGCCATTGATACACACTCAATGGACACGCTTAGATTCGGTTGTCAGCTGAATGTTTCATTGCATGCCAGGATATCCCAAGTCTGCGCAATTCTGCTCTTTCCACATCCCTAAACCACCAAAAGCCGTGGCTCCAGCTCATCTCAGGATTGTCTTCCAGAATGTCTTCGCAGACATCGATGCCAACAACATCATCGCTTTGTGCTCCTGCTTGGTTTTCGAGCCCCGGGCTGGTCTTTACCACTATTTTCACTGTATCAGAAGAGGAAGAAAGAGGAAGGTTTGGGGATCTATACTACACCACACGTTTACAAATACCAGAACACACTATAACCCACCATGCAAGACTATACTATACTATACTATACCATACTATACTATACTAGACTAGACTATACTATACTATACTATACTATATTCTTATATATATGTATATAGACCATATAAACCCCTAGACCCTAGGAAGATACCGTGGTAGCGGCAAGAGACCTCAGAGGCTTCGGAAGCTTCAGGCTCCGAGTTGCGAGGTGGCGTCTGAGCCGATCCGGCTGCTCATTTAGGGTTTAGGGTTTAAGGGTTTAAGGGTTTAAGGGCCTTTAGGGTTTAAGGGTTTCAGGGTTTAGGGTTTAGGTGTTGCTGCTCTCTGGGCCCGCATTGTCCGAAGTGCCTGAGGACGAGAAGTCGGAAGATCCGATCACGAACAACCTCGACCTCATGAAGGCAGTGGGATGTTCTTCAAATGCACAGAATCTCAAACTCGGCATTCTCCCGCGACGACTGCAGGCCTTCGAAACCTGCAAGGGCATCGCGCGGAATGTCGCCGAGGTGATGGTGGCTCCGATGCAACCAACTTGGAGAAGCAAAGCTGGTGCCGTTGTTGGGGTCCTGCATTTCGACATCCTGACGTCCATTGTTGTTCGTATTAGGTCCTCAGCGCTCGGACAGAGCCCGGCTCTTGACTGATCCAGTATCCCCCTCTGCTGGTAGTCTGTTGTCTCTGTCTTGGAGTCGACCACGAGGGTGCTCGAGGAAATGCAAAATGTGACCTGAGGGTGTTCATTGAGCTTCACAGGGCATCGCACATGATGTCAGGTGTGCTGCAGGGGCATCGGGATGTGTCAGGGCATTGTTGTTTCTTGACATTCGCTCACCACTGGAACGAACCAGGTCGAGAACAAGATTCCTTTGGACGTGGAGGAGTCCGGACAACAACTCTACGAGCATGTACAGCGCGGTTGCCCTGCAGCTTCCGTTGAAGAAGTTGCCACGAACATAGTGAGACAGACATAGTGGTCTTCATGATAGTGACTATGCTATAGCAGCTATTATTGTAGTGGTAGTGGTAGTAGTAGTAGTAGTAGTAGTAGTAGTGGTGGTAGTAGTAGTAGTAGTAGTAGTAGCAGTAGCTGCTGTCGCTGTAGCTGTAGCCGTCTCGAGCACAGTTCCGAGCCGGGCGACCCAAACATGAACATGCAGGAGTACGTGCAGAAGCTAAAGCCGCAGCTCATGGAGGCTGGAGTGGGTGACTGAAAGGAGGGGCATCATGTTGGGGTCACCCCCCGAGAATGTTAGTTCAGGAGTCGGTAGATGTACCTGATATGTCTGTCTCTGTGTGTGTCCTGCGGTTGAGAGAGGTTTGCGAGTCATGCGGTTGTTTGTCAGGGAATAACAGATGAGAGCGCAAAACTAACGAAAGATATTCAGGGGTGGTGATTCAGTGGAGCCAGGTAATCAGTGGTTGAGCTGCGCAAGGTGTTCTGCAGATAAGATAGGCAGAGTGACTGTCGGGTTGTGGTTCGGCGAGTGCAAGATGCGCAGTCCTCGGGACGGATCCCTATAGTCGAAGCTCTACATGCTGAATTTCTATTCGCAGTGATCCCGTCTGTGGAGGTGGTCTTGGGCTGGCTGGAGGGCAAGAGATTTCACGAGATCATGCGACTTGGCCGAAAGCAGACTTGACTTGGCGAGCTGTGTCGGAGCCTGGCAACATTGGCGATAGGTCGACGACCTTACCCATCTATACCCGCACTGTTTATAGTTTTTAAGATTGTACGACGCCAAGCTCATGCAGGAACCAGTGCAACCTCTACGAAGGACGGGCTACCACTGACTTTGTCACGAGGCCGGAACGCAAAGACAGAAATCCCGGCAGGAAGTGTGGTCCGCGTCATCCGGCGGCTGGAGGCACTTCGGAAGGGAGTTCGATGCTTTGTCCACTACGGCTAGCGGTACGGACGTCTGGTGGTGGTAGTCGTCGTCCCTTTTGTTGTTGTCTCCGCAGTAGCAGTGGTGGTGGCAGTAGTACAGTAGTGGTGGTGGTAGTCATCGTCGACATGGTAACACGAGAAGGAGGACCAGTCGTGGTCGTGTGGCGTGGCGTGCTCAAATGTATGGAACATCAAAAACGTTCCAGCCTGCTCTTCCTGAGCCCAACAACACATGATAGGTACTTTCCATACCACTTCCAACTAACAGATGCTGGAATGTACCCTTACTGGCCTACTTTGCTCGTATTGTTGCACTGTGTTGAATTATTAAATTAGGTTGCTCCCTTTTTCCGGTGCTTCTTCACGGTTAGGTTTTTGTCGGCAGTCTTGTATAGAGGACCCTTATCGCCAGGTGTTGTTTTTTACATGTTCCTGTCTGCTAATGGCCAATCTTAACTGCCTAACTACAGGATGACACGAGGCCGAACAAAAAGTTTCCGCAGGCTCAGGCTTGGTCGATTGTGGGGAGTGCATATGGTGGAAGCCAGAAAGTTGGAAAGTGCGTTGCGGCGCGCTTGGACCTGAAACCCAATCTTCCAACTTTCCGTTTTGGACAGTCCGGCACCCCGCATGCTCTCCAAAAGGAGGAAGGCTCTTAGTGCGATCTTCCAACTTTATTCTGCTTGGCAGGCACTGCACTTCTAGCCCGGCAGCACCCCGCAACCCCGCATCCCGGGAAGGGCAACCCCGCACCCCCGCATCGCCGGATCCGCGGTTCGGCTGGGTCGGTCGTATTTCTGCCAGTTCTTAGGGGAAAGTACTTTCACGGTGCGTCCTGGAGAAGCCAGTACTTGGGGGAAAAGAATTTAATTATGCCCTCGATTGTTTCCGAATCCCGGCTTTGCTTGGGGCAAAGCTTTCCGCCGCTGGACCATTTTTTGCTTTTACTCGGTGGAAATAAGTTTGATGGTGCGACCCGGAGACGCCAGTACGTGGGGGAAAGCGATTATTACAGCCAGTGCAGGTTGCTGTAATTTTGTTTTTTCCATTTTGACCACTGCTTGAAACGTCTCTTTTTCGTGTTTTTTTGTGATTGGGCAAAATTTTGAAGGACTTTCAGTTTTTTTTGGGAAGTTCAGTCTTTCATTCATGATCATTTGGTTTGCTTTTTCCAGTTGGACCACTGCTTGAAACGTCTCTTTTTCGTTTTTTTTTTCAGTGATTGGGCAAAAAATTCCATTTCACAAAGAGCTCACAAAATTTGTTTTGTTTGAAGTTTCGTCCTTTGACAGTTCCCTCATTCCAAAATGTTTGGTGTCCCTTGTGTCTTCATTTTTGTTCGTGCCAAACAAGTTTTTTGTTCTCTCATTATTGAAAAAAGTTGGAAAACATGAAATTTGGAAGAAATGAAACATGGACAGCCAAATCAAAGTTGGAAGTTGGCTTGCACCATGCGCCAATCTCGGTAGACTGTCTTCCAACTTTCCCGCTCTCACTGTAGTCTTCTGCTGCTACTGTACTACTGCTGTTCTACTGTGAAACCACTGTACTACTACTGTACTAGTGCTGTATTGCTGCGATACTAATGTATGCTTTATGTACACCCGTCTGAAAAGCCCATCTCCGTCTACAGGGCCAGGACGCACCAGAGCATATCTCCCTTTACAGCCCCGCCCCCGCTCTACAGAGCTTATCTCCCTCTACAGCACCCACCAGATGCCGGGGTCCGCGGGATCACGCTATTCAGGCCGTTGAGAAATGGTTCGGTGGCAGGGGGGGTGGGGGTGGGTCGGCCACCAGTACAAGCGGTGCAACAATTTATGATGGTATTCACCATGGGGATGCTCGTGGCAATTGTAATGTTCGTATCGTTTGCATTGCTGGTTTGCGTTTCTGTGGTCACGGACAGTTGCGCTGCAAGCTCCGTAAATTTTTCGGAGGAGCTGGTCCGCGAGCTGGCCACTGCGGCCAAAACCATCGGCAACGACGAGCTGGCTCAGCAACTTTGGTTGCATGGTGCTGCCTGCTTGGGCTATAGAGCTACAAGGGTTTGAGACGCGTCAGTCCTGGGGATTTCAAGAACAAATCCCAGGATTCAGTGCTCCTTCAACGGGCCATGCAAGGCTTAAAAGCAACATCAAGTCACACAAAATGTCGCAGCCCGTGCCTTCGGAACGCATAGACATCGCTTGAGATGGTTTTTTCCTCGTCTACAACGCATCATGAAGCCTGAGCTTCGGACTGCAGTGCAGCCTTCCGCAAAGCTTGCAGAAGGTGCACAGGGCCTAGACTTAGGTGTCTATTCCTGAAGATCATGAAGTTTATGACTTCGGGGTACTCTACAAGCACCTTAAACCCCACACTACTAATCCCTACCCTGAACCACGAAACCCTCAACCGAAATCCCAGGAAGCTCAACGAGGGCCGGAACCGGCTGAAACGCGGCATCATTTTTGCCGCGTCGCTGTACCTCTAAGCCGCTTTTTGGAGGAAGCCTCCAAACAGTGCATCGAGCAAAAAGAGCGCTGAGGAGCCCGGAACCCGGATTCTGAGCGAGGAAACCCCAAGCCCTCGAAGCCACGTGAGCCAAGGGATCCGTTCAAGAGATCTGTCTAACCGCTGGTTCATTGGGTCCCTTCGCACCCGAAAGGTAGACGTTAGCTTGATGTGTTTCTACTGCGCCTGTACTTGCAAGGCTTACGTCGGAAAGGATGATGCCTTCAGTTTCGGGAACATGTTTATACAGAGGTTACTGCATCTTCAGCTATCCAAGATTGTATTTTCCCATGTGTTTCTCTTCCACGCAGCCACTGGCGCGACATGAGAACTTCATAGACAACCGTCGGAGAATGGTGACCCACTGCCTAGCGAAACCTTGAAACATTCCCTTCCCGTCAAGCCCAAACCCCAAAGCCCCTTAAAACCCTGACGCCCTGAACCCTGTACACTCTGGACACTGACACCCTCAACCCCCAAACCCTATAATGCCCTATAAATCCTGTGAACCCCGTAAGTCTTAAACCCTCAACCCTACAGACCCTATAGACCCTAAACATTCGAGATTCTTTTTTAAGGGCCTCGCCAGGCCGCCGCGCCTTCTGCCTCGTGCCCCACATCTGTGGTGAATGGGCTTCGACCCCGGCAAATCTTGGCTTTTCAGGATTTCAGGGATTCGGGGGTGTGAAGAGCTGGCAGGGCCTTGAAGTTTAAAGTTTAGGAGGTTGTGGTGAAGGGTGGTAGCAGTGTGGATGTGAACTGTGGACGCCGCATGCCTTTCAACGCAGATTTACATCACGAGCCTCGCACAACGAGTCCCGTTTACATTTGGGACAGTGAAGGGGGTTCCGTGCGTTTGTTTGTCTCTGGCGCTGTTCTGAGCCAGCAGCTCATTGAAAGAGACGCGCCAGAGCCAATGAGCAAAACCTCGGGTTTTGGGGAGCTGCAGGCCGCAGGACTGTACACATTGAGAATAAGTCTGGTAGCGGTGGCATTGGATATGCTCTTTGTGCAGCATGATTACGGCGGCCCTGAATCCGACTCCGCTTTCGCATCTCGACCTTTCAGAGCCAAGTTGCAGGTCTATGCCTGGCAGATACGAGTACTCTGCTGTGGAGGAGGACCTTTACCGTCCGGGCCCGAGAAGCCGGATGTACTAGCATCCCGGCATGGTAGGGTTTCGTTTCTTGCCACGGGACACTATGCCAGAATGCGGCATTGAACAGTAGTTTACGAAATTCCGGGTTGCTGGACTTATCTAGAAAGGTGGTGTAGATTCTACCTAAGCCACAGCAAATGGGGTTGTTGCGACACGACCCCTTTGAAACCTTGACCATGCAGCGAAACCGAGAGGAAAGCCCCTTACTTTAAGATCTCAGAAACCCAAAAAGGTACCCCACCAGAAACCCTGAAGGCAACAAGGGATCGCAAGACAGGTTGGTGGGAGGCTGCAGGCTTCTTTCGCCCGGAGGTTGCCGAGGAGGCAAGGCTCTTGCGAGTCCTTCGCATGTTATGTGGGTTTAGGGGTTTAGGGCTTAGGGTTTAGGGTATAGAGGGTTTAGGGTTTAGGGCTTAGGGTTTAGGATT